GGCTGGTGGTTCAAACCCACCAGGCGCTCCTCAGAAGGAAGGTTGGGCAAACTACTTCCGTAGTGATACCACCTTGGAAAGCCAGGGAGGGGTCACTATGAGTCGGGTCTGATTCCACGGCACATAACAACAACAACAACAACATGCAGAGTTTTCAAGCCTATGACTTTTCAGAAGCAGATCCCCAGGCTTACTTCCAAAGCATCTCTTGGTTGGTTTGAACTGCCAACTAGTGGTTAATGGTCGAGCACTTAACCGTTTGTGCCAAACAGGGGCTCCATGTAACAATGTTACCATACCTCAAATCAAAATATTTCCATCTTAGACCAGACGGTTGTGGTTAAAGAATCTGCCTTATTAACCTGTTGATTTTGTGTTGAGGCTCAGGATCTTGTGACTTCTATCAAGGTGATTCAGATTCAAGCCATCTTATGTGATTGTTTTATAAATGAACTTTCTTTTTTTGTTCTTTATGTTATTAATGTTTTTTTATGACAGTGGATTTTATGGGTTTGAATAGGTTCTAGTTTCTTGCCATCTGGAACTTTGCCCTAGAATGATGTAAACTTTAAGATTTGCTTTCTCAGTATTACATCACTCTTTGTCCTGGCATTATATACATTAATTTAGTTTGGAGCCTTATTGAAAATGTATATCTTTCTACTATATTATAATTTGTAGTGCCACCTAGAGGTCTCATCTCCTAAGGGATAAGAGGAAAACTATGCCTCTGAGATCATCTGGAAAATTCATCATATTGATACACATTGTTGAACCAAAGTTTTTGCCCTTCAAGAACCTGCTATTTGTACTGATTTGCTATTGAATTCCCTTCTACTTGGTTATTACTGAGAGACCATTACTCCAATTAGGCTGTTTTTCGCCCAGCCTTCTTTTCTTACACAGATAGAGGGGGAAAAGTTCATATCTATCTTTTATACATAATTATTTAACCAAAGAAATAAAACACTGTTATTATTATTATGTGCCATAGAGTCAGACCCTACTCATAGCCACCCCTCCTTGGGTTTCTGAGATGGTATCACTACGGAAGTAGATTGCCCAACCTTCCTTCTGAGGAGTGGCTGGTGGGTTTGAACCTCCAGGCTTCTGGTCACCAGTCAAGTGCCTTAGGCACTACTCTACCAGAGCTTTCAAAGAAATAAAATACCCCAATATAAGTCTCCTATGTACTATAATTTTTATAAAAATGAGTCATATTTTGTTAAGGTCACCCTTCTTTTATATAGCACCTTTTCATATAATATTTATTTTAATTCCTTTGAATGTCATTACAAATTCATGATTATTCACAAATTAAACCTATTTAAACTGCCTTTTGTATTCTATTACCTGTGAGATCTTTGATAGCAATCTTTTCCCTCAGCAACAGGATACTACAAGCCCATTCAAATTTTACACTGGCCTGGTGCACGGAATTAAGGAGCTATCGTGGCACAGTGCTTAAGGTATTTGACTGCTAACCAGGATGCTGGTGGTTCAAACCCACCAACCACTCCTCAGAAGGAAGGTTAGGCAATTTACTTCCATAGTAATACTGCTTTGGAAACCCAAGGAGGGGTCGCTATGAGTCAGATCTGGCTCCATGGCAGTGGGTTTGGTTTTTGGTTTGGTGGCATAGTGGATAAGGGATTTGGCTGCTAACCGGAAGGTCAGAGGTTCAAACCCACCAGATGCTCTGTGGAAGGAAGATGGGATGATCTACTTTTGGGAAGATTTACAGCCTCTGAAACCCAATGGGAGTTGCTATGAGTTGGAATCAACTCAATGGCAGTGAGTTTGGGTTTTTTTTTTGTTTGTTTGTTTTGATGCATGGAATTAGCTACTAAAAGGAACCCAGATTTTTTAGTGTAGAAGAATGTTAGAGGCTAAATCTGTACATTGTGTACATAAAAGGTAAGTGCTACTACTGCTGTTGGGCTACTTTCAGTGACAGAAATCTAAAAAAATGTAGCTTTTTGTAAAGATCGTGAGCTCCCATTAAGGTTTCTAGTTCACGTAACCTGCTTTTCTTAATGTATAGATTTTCTTTATCCCCTAGGATTTTCTAATACATTGGTTTTAGTGTCTTCACTTGAAAAGGGTAATAAGAATCTTTACAATTTTAAAAACATAGGGTTTGGAAGGTTAGTGTGGAGTGAGAGTTTCTTGGTGGTGAAATGTTTAAGGATCTCTGGCTAAGCTAAGAATCTTATTGATCAAATTAATATACTTTCTCATATTGTTCGTCAGAAATATTTATGTAGGTAAGTTTAATGAGGTGTTTTCACATCAACCAATTTACTTCCGGGAAATTCCTATAGTATTGTCAAGAGTCAATCTGAGCTTCTGGCTAGCATGAAATAACTAAAATTACTTCAAGACTTGCTATAGTGCTAGCAAAAAGCAGTGGAATTTGGCATTTTAGCTGGCCTTTACCACCTCATCAATGGTAAACTTACTTTGTTTAGTTCTAAAATTGTTCAGAGATGCATATTCTGACCTATGCAGACCACTAGAGTGTTCATCTAGTTCCTCCTCCTCCATAAATTGTCCTCAGTCACCAATGGAAGTACTTATTCAATTTTTGAAATCCAAGTGATTATTTTTGTACTATTCACTTGGCATTAAATATACAATATTTATATTTATGGGAATGTGAGTCTGTATGGGTATGGTGCTACCTTTTTCTCCCACTATTTCTTAATATGTATGCCCTAGGTAACAGTAGTGGTGTTGTTGTTAGGTGCTGTTGAGCCATATCTGACTCATAGCGACCCTATGTACAGCAGAACGAAACACTGCCCAGTCCTTTGCCAGCTCCATGATCCTTGCTATACCTGAGCCCATCATTATAGCCACTGTGTCAATCCATCTTGTTGAGGGCCTTCCCTTTTTCGTTGACCCTCCACTTTACTAAGCATGATATTCTTCTCCAGGGAATGGTTCCTTCTGACAACATGACCAAGGTAGGTGAGATGAAGTCTGGCCATTCTCGCTTCCAAGGAGCATTTCGGCTACACTTCTTCCAAGACAGATTTGTTAGTTCTTTTAGCAGTCCATGGTACTTTTAATGTTCTTCTCCAACACCATAACTCAAACGCATCAACTCTTCTTCAGTCTTCCCTATTCATTGTCCAGCTCTCACGTGCATATCAGGCAATTGAAAATACCATGGCTTGTGTCAGGCACTCCTTAGTCTTCAAGGAGGTATCTTTGCTCTTTAGCACTTGAGAGAGGTCCTTTGCCCCCGATTTTCCCACTGGTATATGTTGTCTGATATCTTGACTGCTGTTTCCATTGGTGTTGATTGTAGAACCAAGTAATATGAAGTGTTTGACAACTTCAATCTTTTCTCCATTTATTGTAATGCTGCTTATTGGTCCAGTTGCGGTGATTTTTGTTTTCTTTATATTGAGGTGTAATCCATACATCAGACTGTCGTCTTCAATCTTCATCAGTAAGTACTTCAAGTCATCCTCACTTTCAGGAAGCA